GGCCCTGCTCTTCTCCAGGGAGATGAGAACTGACCACTAGGTGGCAGGAGCAAGGTGCCTTTCATGACTTTGGTTGTCTGAAATTGATGTGAAGCCTTGAGACATATTTCACTCTCGTGGCCCTCATCAGGCTAGATGGAAGGTAAATGAATTGCTAAAAGACTGCTGTTGTGGTGCTTTGTTTAGAGGATTCTAGTGTTGCCATCAGTGCTTGCTTTCTGAGGAAAAAATAATGTCTGGACCTCACTGTGGACAACTCTAATGGGAAATGAAGGTCTCTCTGACAGAAGCAATTCCCTTTTGGCAAACGCAGGTGTGTTGTGACAACTGCTTGCTATCTGTCCAGTACTTGCCACCTTTGTGCAAGATCTTCCTGTGGGATCTGCAGAACCAGAGTGAATATTTAGCATGTTGCTTGTTTTGTACACGTTACATGGAAGGCTCTTCTGGACACTGACACACCAAGTATGTGATTCCATTGGCAGGAAGCACAGACACAGCTGTGCAGGGCTGGGAACTACTAGAGCAGAGAGACCTCCAGCATTCCCCCTTCCACCCCCACACTAATGTCAGGCCTTGGGTGTTCCTGAAGAGGCAACTCTTTCCTTCTGTGGGATTGACAAAGGAGTCCTCCTTGGAGTTGTCGCTAAGTCAGCAAGGACTCACCTGCCACCTATGGGTGACAGTGTTTCCTACAAGAGCCCTGTCAGCCTCACTGGTTAAACCACTGCCTGTCATTCACTTAGCTGTCCAACTGTCAGGACGGTCTCAACCATTTTCTCCTTTTAAAGTAAAATGTTAAAAAGAATCATCTGAGAATTCAGACAATAAAAATCAGCTCCATTAATTTTATACTCATGTGGAATTTGCAAGTGAAGATTTGGTATGGAAGCTGTTGACAGCAAACATAGCTGCCATAATTTATCCCTACCAATCTTTCTCACATTCTGACATCATCTCCTCTAACTTCCTTTGAGACAGGGCTGCCCTTGAATGTATGTATCTGAGGCTGCCCCCACCTCTCCCATGCTGTGTGCTGGTATTATCAGTATGCACTAGCCCACTGGCTTTTATGTGGTACTGGGGTTGGAATGGAGGACTTCACAAGTGCCAGGCACACACTTTACCAACCAAGCCACATCCTCGGCCCTCCATTAATAACTCTGATGATCAAAGTCATATATCTGGGATAGCTCTGGCTATTTATTTAATGAACCCTTCCTGAAACTGTTGCGAGACAAATTGATCTCCAGCAAAGCAAAAAAAAAAAAAAAAAAAAACCCAATGGTTTCTCATAAAATGCAGATATCCCTCCTTACCTAAAACATTACTAGGATGTTATCACGTGTTCTTGAGTGAGACTAAAGGAAAGGTGGGTTTTTTAATCCTAGTGCTAATTCCTGGTGTTTATGCATCCACAACCCCCCAACATTGAAGTCTCCCTTCAATGTCAAAATCAAAGAACAGCAACATTTTATTGACAGTTTCCCAACAGACAAGGGCTTAGAATGAATCAGAACGAACACATTATTTTTTTTTCCTTCTTCCAAGTTTATTTTGAGTTTTCATTTTTGGACAACCAAGCAGCTCTTAAAAGGAGAATGCGCAGAAGAGTCATTCTGGCACTTTTGGACAGTACATGAGTGTTTTTTAACAGTCACATTCAATCCCCCTGCTCAGCCCGCACTCTCACATTCGGTAAGAAGGGCACAGGGATTCCAGAGTTAATACATAACCCTATATACAAACAGCCAGTGGAACCATCATGGTGGCTAGTGACCAAAGGGATGGAATAGGAACGGGCATCTCTACAGTGTCCTCTAGTCTATCTTAGCTAAACAGACCCACGTTACACATGATAACTAGAGCGTGTACTGTGTTGAAATGAGGGTGCAGAGTACAAATGGCACTTGGCAGCATGCAGTTCCAAGAACAAGGTATTGTTTAGTAACTTTATATAAAATCCAGGCAGTTCAATTGAAAGGGTTACGAAAAGACATGAAACCGAGGGACTGTCTGTTGTCACTGTAAAAAAGGCACTTGGAGTTAATGGGACCAGAATTGAAGGACTCTTAGCTGATAAAAAACTTCAGTACATTTTCATTAAAGGGCTTAGAGATGTTAAGAGCCGATACCCGGGTTCTGAGTTCCTGAAGGGAGACACTGAAACCAACCACAGAGAAGTAGAACAGACTGAAACAAGGAAGTAAAAAATTTACAACTGAAACTGAACCATACTTTAAAGAAAGAAAAAACAACCCCCTACCAGGCAGAGGGAGGGAGGGAG